GGATCAATGCTAAATAATAGTTCACTTTTGTTGCTAATGTAAACACAATGCAATGTTGAAAGCTGGACTTGCACACAATGAGGCGTTTCTCTCTCACACACCATGTCCTAGTAAAACATTATCAGCTGTTTAATTCCTCCAGTTAGTCACGGTGACGAAGGCCAGTTAATAAAAACAGAGGAATAAAGTGTTCTTTGTTTTGCCCTTCTGAAAGTCACCTCGCTGTTGAAACAAGACGAGACTCTTGTCATTGTGTAACCGATGGGCTTTAAGGATCAACCTGAACAAACGGCTCGTTCACCGGCTTGTTTGCCCACAGATAAGCAAAACTTTTAGGTTTAGATTACGCGCGACGGCCCCTAAAACCATAAACCGTGAGTTTATGTACGTTTTAAACAAAGGAGAAAATAAACTTCTGTCTTATCTGGATTGGAGTGGTGAAGTGTTTGCACAATACCAAACACACACACGCTACGCTTTGCTCTATTGCTTCCATGATAACAAATCCAGAAAGAAATATGGTCCTTTTGGTTTGAATGGAAAGATAAACACGTTATCTGTGTTGTGATCAAATCTGCAGTGTCTTTGCTGGATGTTCACTGTAGCATCGGAGGGAAAAAAACGTCTCGTCCTCCTTGTTTGTATCCGACGGTTTCATCAAACATACTCGTTTTGGGTGAGACCGACCTCCACGTGGAAATAAATATTTGTGATGGTTATGTAAGGACATTTTTTTAAAATTAAATTTGCAGTTTTCTTTCTGCTCTATTGAAAGAAAAGCTTTTAATGAGAGATATTCAAGGCGGCACTTTAACAAACCGTCAGCAGCAGATTCAGTTTGTTTAAGAGTTTTTCTTCTACCTTTATTCTGCCAACATCATAAAATGGATTTCCACTTATTCTTCACTGCAGTTCATCCATTTTTTTAATGTCACTTTTTATTTTTCCACAGTTATTTTCTTTAACCGAACGAGATCTTTGCCGATTGTGAAACGTGGGCAGCGCAGAGGGATTATATGTAACGAGATGTAAACAACATCTGCATCGTCACCTCCGAGGAAATAGGAAGTAGTTTCATAAATTGGCAAATGTGCGGCGGCATTGTGCTGCAGCTTTTCCTTCTTATCAGCAACGAATAAAAAAAAAACTTTCTGAGCAATAACTGCAGGATTTGTTATGTTTTGTAGGGAGATGAAATAAAATGTAAAGTGGGCAAAAGGCAAGAAGCCATTTGGGTGAAACACTCAAGTTGTTTTTGGCAGACCGGTGTGACCTTGGTGTGCTGCATAGTTTGTTGGAGA